TTTATAAAAAAAATACAAGTAATCACTAATAAGTAATGTAAAAAATAAAATAATCACTAGTTAAAAGACCCTGCTCAAAGTTGTNGCGGACCAGTTGTCGACAAAGTTTTCCTGGAGGTATTTCCACAACCATGACCTTTCCTTCAGATCACACCAGTAACCGTTCTTCCTTCGTTAGCCCTATACAGTGTAGAATCTTGGGAAGGCTGAAACAAATAAACATACAAATCGCATATCGATTGAGCTGTATGAAGAACGCTAAAACTGTAACAACGAGGCGAATAGTCAGTCCTGACTCCCCCCTGGTTGGCCAGGTCGGATATCGACTTGGAATCCGATCCCGTTAGCATTCGTGTGGGATAGGGCGCCACTTACTAAAGCACCATCTCCATCCATCCCGTTTTCTGTAACTCTGTCCATAATACGAACTGGCCAAGAGTAAAGAGTTTAAAGTCAGGTACAAGTAATCAAAGAAATATGGGCAGACCGACCTTGAAGATTAAAAATTGGATGGTGAAAAACAGTGCACTTCGAGATTAGAGAATCACAAAAGCTACAGTAATCAATGTCAAAATAATCAAAGCAAAACAAATAACTTCACACTTGGCATGACCACAGAAAGGGCATGGATTAAATGAAAGTGTGATGGCTCACAACGATTAACAGAATCGCACTCACCGTTGAACTGTTTTCATTCCCCAAGAACGAAATTTCAGATTACAATTTCCGAATTCTTACCGTACTCCCTCTATAATATAATACTAAATGTAATATGTAAAATGATGTGTTAGATGTAATCAATAATATAAACTACAGGTGGAACTACGGTATTGATTGGATGCCTACTAGAAATGCTTATGGTCAGTTTGAAACCTATCCAGAATAATTGCCTTTAGCAACTGTCCAAGCAATCAATAAATCTCAAAACTCTCAGCACTTTATTTCAGTGATAAATTATGCGATATGCGATTGGTAAAACCTTTCAACGTAACAATCTCAAAATGCAATGTTATATTATCACTTTGAACAATATTAGCCACTATTCATCTGATAAAAATTCCATCACCAAAGTAGTATCACCATCAGAATAATTTGAGAAAAATGAAATTTTTTATGATTCTTGTAGAATACATGACTACTTAATAGTTAATCTCAACAGAGATTAGTTTAGACGACCAGCATCTGGAATTGTTAACATTCAAAGGCAGAAATTGGGTTGGAAGTGTTGGTGTGGGGGCTGCTCTCTGGGGTGAGCCTCAATCCTCAGCTTAGTGGCAGATAATGGGCCACAGTAGCGTGTTCCCCGTTAGTGGGACTCCCCAGATTGCCCACCTAGGCCCCATGCGAACACTACCTTGAAGCAATTCTTATTAACAGGTAATTTTTAGAGAAAATCAATGTACATCATAACCTTAAGGCCTCGAATGGCTGCGTTCCAATGGAGTGACGGCCAGCGAGAACCAATTCACCACGGTTCTTATTTTAGCGTTAGAGCAAGCGACGTTATACTTTGTTCCCCAAGCAAAAATACCAGGTACCGGCGCGAGCGGCTGCATTGCACCATGCCGCTTGACTTATTTATGCCACCTCCCTCATAGAACCAGAGCCCATACAAATTCACTTCTGTCTTCTAAACAAAGCAGTTAACACCAGGAAGAATTCAGAAAATGGCGCTCTCTCTCTCGTCTCCCTCAGCAGGGGTGGCTAGGCAAATTAAAAGATTTGTATTCAAGAAGGCAGACATTCCTGTAGAGAGTAAGAAGGCGAATCAACGTACAGAGTTAGTAACAACCACAACTGACTGCTGCAAAGCAATTCCAGCCAGATATTGGCATAGATTGGCCATCACGATCGCAGCATGAACGATGTTCTTCGTTGCTGCATCGTCGCGAGCTGCTGCCTCTGATTCGACTGCTTTGTGGCTATGATACCTTGAAAAAATTTTATAAAAAAAATACAAGTAATCACTAATAAGTAATGAAAAATAATCACTAGTTAAAAGACCCTGCTCAAAGTTGTCGACTCAAGAGAATGGAGAGTATAAAAGATCATGAATTGAATCTATTGGGTCCGTCTTTTCAGAGTTTCACGAAAACCAGAGGGTCTAATCTCTAAGGATTGATAGGTACCTATTACTTTTCAATCATTCCAAACCTCTGCTGCGGTCGCAGACTGTGAACAACACCTGCAGAGAGAATGAGAGACTGAGAGACTGTCCCCGCTTCAACAAACACTATATGGGGAAGAACCTGTGTAAAGCCGCAGTACAAGTTTTGGCCAAACGACGTTCGCTAACGCTGCCGAATTTATCAATTTTTCAGAGGAGCAGTAGCTCATAGTAGGCCAAGTGGCCAACTACACGACGCCCAGCTGCAAAATTATCGATAAAAATATTATCTTACCTGATTCCATGCGATCTTCTTCCGGAATTCCCAAATGAACGCCCACGAAGTAGTGAAGTAACTGGAGCAAAAGCATCGTCGCGTGGGGATTCCGATAGCCTTAAAATGTAAATGAATAGTTGATCAGACGCCAGCACTGATGTCATAGGTAAACAATTGCGTAACCATATGGGGTTCCCCATGAAGTTGACAAACAAAACAGCTGATAGAGAAAACAAACAATTACGAGTCCACAGTTTTTGTATGAGAAAGTAGAGCAGAAAGCAGAGCAAACGTAGTGCAAAACTGAACTAAATGCGTCAACAATGAGAGAAGTTATTTCTACGACACAAACGATAAATGATAGAGTTTCTGGGCGTATTCCTTTTGTGAGATGCGGCCTCAATAGAATTCCACTCATAGTAGTAGCCTTTGAATGTGAGTGTCGTCTACAAAATGACTTGCAGTACCAGCCGTTGTGCATACCAGCACTTATTTCCACCCAGACGGATCTCGAACTAATTTACCGACTCCGATGGGATGAGAGGTTTGATTACCCTAGGCATGTTCAATCCGGTATTCGACTCGCTGACATGCGTGTGTAATTGTATTTCCCTTGCCCCTATACCCGCACCATTCAGTTTGGATACTTCTGCGTGAGTCTTTGAGACTTACGACACTTGCTGGATTTATTAGGTTGAGTCATAAGTCCTAGGACAAATTGACAATGATAATACTTATCTTACAATTTTTAAACGACAATAGCGAATCATTTGAAATATGCCCCATTCGCATCAATGGTCTTTTGCCAATGCTTGGGCAGATCTTAAATGCCCTTGCTTTAGAACGCTGGGAGCTGGCCCTTGGAGAACTGCTCCAGTGCCATTTTGATGTCGTCGCGGGTTTGAAAGTCCTGACCATCCAGATGGCGTTGAATATGAGGAAAAAGG